GACCGATTTTCGTGAAATTTTGTGTGCATATCGGCCAATCGGCCAGGGTGGAGAATCGGATAACATCTATTTTTCATCCCCCTAAATGTTAAGGGTGGTCCACCACAAATATTTTTTTTTACCCTACAAATTCCTTAGAAATAATTTACACGGCAAGACAACGTTTGCCGGGTCAGCCAATAGTGTCATATAAAATCCTTTCCTTTCTATGAAATCTCATTTATGTTTCCATTTATTTTCACGACAGACGTTTCGAAATATATATTCATGCTTAGGTAGTCTATTCATGCATTTAGTAAACGTTATTATGTAAGGTTTCTTTCAGTGCCCCTTTATGGCAGATTGATAGTAGTGAATACAAATAAATAACAGACTCTTTCGTCTCTTAATCCTTAAAGAGGGTAAGGAGAATCTTATGCTTTTCATTATTTGCCGAGTTTATTACATGACACACAGAAACAATTTCGTATTTTCTGCCATTGAGAGATATTTCTAATTTTTATCTCGGCACTACGATTATTTATTGTATTACATTTTCTAAGGACGAAATGTACGGATTACATAAATATAAGTCTTGCCTCAAATGCCAAAATCAATACATTTTTTAGCTATAGAAATATTTTATTTACGAGCGGATTGAAAGTTTATCACGGATCACCGTAAGCGTTTCTTTATCATAATGTTTACTTTCAAAATTGTGATTTCTTATGACGTACGTGTCAACTAAGACTTTCCTAAAGTCAACATTTATTAATGTTACTAAATGGGTGGCTCGATGTTGTTTTCAAGAATATTTAAAAAAAAAGTTAAAATATATAAAGGTAAGATAATTGATACCACACTGAAATTCTTCTTTTATTATCAAATCTTAGACGAAGAGTTTTCCAAAATTGAAGGACCGATAAGTGTTGCTAATTTAGTAAAAAGTTAGTAAAATATAATAAATTCATAAAATAAAAATGTCTGTAGATAAATATCATTTTAATTCATATTCAGCACGGCAGCTAGCCCCAGCTGAATATGGTAGTTACATATAATCAGAGCCCGGCCTGTACGCTAGGGTTACCCGTGCTTAGAATAGACTTATCTCCAAGTACGGTTTGATTTAAATTTGTATTAAGACAGTAAGATAATTATAGTAAGATATATTCTATCTTATAATTATACTGCCTTATAAGTATACCGTATATTATAACCGTCTATATTTTAAATATTTTTTTATCTTCCTGGACAACTAATTTCATTATAGATTACTTACTTTAGTTTTATTTTTTTCCTGCATGCATTATTTTAATTAAAAACACATTCACCGGAATAGCGTGAAGAAATGTTAAACCGTGACACGGCTTAACATTTCTGCACGCAATTTCCGTCGAAGGGCTTTTCCTTCTAAGAGAGTGGCTATTACATAGCACTAATCCTAGTGTAGCTAAATTAATCCTAGCACGAGGGTAAAAAAATTATATGCAACTCTTGGGCTAATATGAATGCTATATTAATATACCAGTTAGATGTTCATTTTTGAGATGCCTGCATCTTTTACACTTTACAAAACATTACATACTTTTTTTATTACTTTTTATTACTGTTTGCCGGAAGTAAGTTCTGACTGTGGTAGGGTCAAGCAACGGTCTTCGCTGTTGCATGAATGGGCAGATCAGTCTGGAGACAACTTTTTTATTCGCTGGAACACATCTGCATCTACGGGCGGATGTTGCAAATGTCTATGGGTGACGGACATCACTCACCAGTAGGTTAACCGCCAGCTCGCTTGTCAAACACACAAAAAAAACAAACGCACAAAAAAAATATATGATACTTTTACATTTGAACACCGATCTCAGCTCATATATTTTTGAATTCCTCATTCAGTTGAAAAAATAATGAAATAATTATTAAAATATTATTATTGCAGTAAGTAAATTCCACTTAATAAATAAGGCAATTAACTTCATATTATTGGCATTTCAAGTAATCTTGCAACCGAGTCCTGTTATTTATGAGTATGCAAATGAGGCCTAAACTCCTCGGCACTTCATTTCAACACACCCTCGTAAACGGAAACGGTAGAGATTTATAAAGGATTTTTATTCTGTGAGTTTTCTTCTCCATTTTCTTTATTATAAAAAGTAAAAAATATTGTCAGTGTTATTAAATAAAGTTGTTTTAACCTATTAATCTTAAGTAGTTATTTCAATAATGATTAATTTTAAAAATTGACAGTAATATTGAAATTTATTTATATTTTATTATGTCATTCAGACGAATAATAACGAGTGCATTAGCAATAACATTACTTAATGTATATTAATATAAATAGTATTATTCACACTTGCTTTCAAGTGATGGTAGCACTGATCGGTTATGGTATCCACCGAATTAAGATTCGGTTCCCTTTTATAAATGTGTAAATATAATGAAAAGTATTTTTTCTTACAGTGGCGTTAACCGTACTAAGAAGTGATATTATTTCAAATTTATTATTTATTAAACGGTACGATTAGCCGTCATAGCTCAGTATCCGGGCGCTCGCTTTTAATTCAATAATACTCTAAAATTAAATTTCTCAATAATTAAAACTTTAAAACATGTAGAAAAAGTACGAAAAGATTGTCGCCGCTGTGGGAATCGAACCCCCGTCTTCGGCATTCGCGGCCTGACGCTCTAGCCACTGAGCTAAACTACTGATTATTAATAATACTCGATTAACCCGAGTCCAAATTCTGGTGCCGGCACCATTAAAATTGTTAATTTTAAGTGTTGACTCATCACGTGTTCCGCGGTGAAGGAAAACATCGTTAATATACCTGAACTTTTTCGGAATAATAGCAAAAAAATATAACGAAGAACTTCGATCACAATATAGGTGGTTACTTTACTTTCACTTTTGTATTCATAGAGTGATCTCAAGTTAAAAAATATTTCATCGACGTGGACATTTGTTCGCGACTAAATCATACGCCCCACATTTTCACTTGACCATTGCCCAAACAGCGCAGTACCGCCTCATGAAAAATTCATGCCTGCGTAAGGAAGCAAAAGGGATTGCCTCGTGAAGTTTAATTTCCTTTATCGTTGAATATAGAGGTAAATTTAATATTCATAATAACAGAATTGTGAGGTACACTTTTTTATTTTTGTTTTTTTACAAAATTGAAAACTGACCAGAATATTAAGGGGCGTAATCCTTTGGTATTGGTTCAACAGTTAAAACTTTATGATTACTACAAAATTTGTATTTGCTTAAATCTATTTAAGATACCTTTGCCCTAAATCTACATTTATTTTTCACTGCGAACGCTTGCTGCAAACGTGAAAGCCATGACTTATTAAACTTAATGACTTTGAACTGATATTATGTTTATTTTTAAGGCCAAGTTCTCTTTCCAGGTAAATTAAGGTTAAATGTCTCGTGCCGGATTAATTTTTATTTTCATTTGAAATTTTACTTTGGAGTAATTATGCATTCAGAGTGAATAGTTTGAAACAAATTACTACACTTACTACGATGATGATTTGGAAGATGTCTTTGTGATGTATGTTAAAGCAATTATTATATACTACTCTATATTACTCTCTACGTTATGCTACTCTATTAATATGCGCAAGAAGATTATGTCGGCAGGGTCGCCATGTACCGTGTGGTGTAAGAGGTAAAATTAAACTATTGAAGGCCCGAACAATACTGACTTATATTTTATGACAACAAGCAATATAAATGATTACAATTAATAGAGTAGCATGATGTAGAGAGTAATATAGAGTAGTATATAATAATTGTTTAAATATACATCATCTTGTATTCTGTAAAATATACAAAACCAGAGAGACGCGACTGTTCACGACGGCATCACTGCATTCAATTCTTCTATTTGCTGCATTTACTCAACTCTTAGTTTATAAATCAACAAAAACACAGATAAAAATACTTTAAATCTATATATTTTCTATTTATTTTATGCTTTACCCAGATTAAAAGCCGTGGTAGTTTTTTTATGAGAAGGTAGCAAGCGAGCTGTCATTTCACTTGATGTTAAGTGAAAATCGCCGCCCATTGCAATGTGCCGCGTATAGGATTAATAGCCCATAGGATTGCAGATGATGATATAATAAAGTGGGCCATGGCTACCCCACTCACCAGACGAAACGCAGAAGTGTTACAATTCCACTTTACCCCGGTCGTCTGTGAAGTCGTGGTATTTACCCGGATGGACCTACCCGTTCCCTGCAATAGCGAAGACTGCCATAGTTAAAAGAAGTTACCTAGTTCAAAAATATTTTCGTTACACAACCTTCTTTGATATCTGATGATTTTAAAAAATCGTATCAAAATGTTTACTATTCTTCATTTTCTTGCTTGAGGATCATTACGGGTTAAACCAAAAGGGAACGTAATAGTCATGTTTTATGTTATTTTTATTGAAAATTGTTCTTTATGTTCTACAAATAGTATAATAATATATAATAATATTTTATAATTACTGCTCTATATTCTTAAATTTATGAATATTTACTAACAAATCTTTGTGCAGTTAAATAGTTAAAATGAAATATTTATACTATAAGATGCAAACCCGACTCCAAAGCAAAAATTATTTATATACAATTGCTCTTATTCACAAATAATTTACACTAAGACATAGTTATCTTATAAATATTATAGTATTAAGAAACGGGACTCGAAATTATTAAACTGAATCAAAGTACACAAAATATTTTATAAAAATATTTAAATGATAAATCTCTTACGCAATAACTTCGTTAAATGTATACAATTCTATAATATAATTGAACAGCTCATAAAAATTCTCCATTTATTACTTTTATTAACAATACACTTAACATGTTCCATGAAGTAACATTTTAGAACACCAGCGGTATACACAAGATGATAATTTATATAACATGTTACCCCCACAATTGGAACGATCAATCAAGTTCCTAACAAAACACTTAATGTGGACAGATGCCAAGTTCTCCGATATTACGATAGATATTCAAGTGCCAAATCGTAGAGCGTTGAATGGCCTTATTATATATAGGGTCGAAGATAAATAAAATATTAGGATAGTTTTGTCCACGGAACACTTGGCGGAGCCCTGTTGCATAGCGGCCGGATGTTCACCTAAAAATGACCAAAAAACGATCTTACTTTTTTTCTGTGAGAAGGTGGCAAGCAAGCTGGTATTATTAAGTGATGATCACCACTCATGGACATTTGCAACGCCCGTAGATACGTTGCCACCATTTAATAAAGTGGGCCCCGGCTACTCACTCACTAAACGGAATTGTAACAATTCCCCTTCACTTTCGTCTTCTACGAGATCGTGGTACTTCGCCACACGGACCTGCCCATTCGTGCCACAAATAACACGTTCCGTGGCTCTATCACAGTGGTATATGTTGTAACAAACTTTTGAATTAACGACCTAGTTAATAGCGATATTGTGTTTGGTTAACATTTGGAACTGACATTTGTTTATACATTTAATTTTTCACCCTTACGCTATTGCAATGTTCACATTTTCATTACTACTGAGTTTCTTGTCGCACACCTAAATATAAATAAAAAGAAAAGTGCTATTTTAGACTAATATATTTTAAACAGATTGATTAGTTTTTAGGGTTCCGTACCCATTGGGTAAAACGGGACCCTATTATTAAGATTTCGGTGTCTGTCTGTCTGTCCGCATGTCCGTCTGTCCGTCTGGCCGTCTGTCACCAGGCTGTATCTCATGAACCGTGATAGTTAGACATTTAAAGTTTTCACAGATGATGTATTTCTGATGCCGCTATAACAACAAATAAAAATTGCAACTAAAAAACAGAATTAAAAATATTTAAGTGGGGCTCCTATACAACAGACATGATTTTTTTGCCGTTTTTATAGATATACAGGGTTTATAGATATATAATAATAGTACGGGGCCCTTCGTTCGCGAGTCCGACTCGCACTTGGCCAGTTTTTTCATTCTTATCATTTCAAATGATATAACCAGCAAACATCGGTTATCGCAACGTAATAGAGAATTGCTAATATTAACCTCTTACCGGAGAGAACATGCACGCGCGTCGCGGCCAACGGTGCATTGTTTGGGTCACATGTGTAAACTCCCGCATCCGCCCCTTTGGCTTGTTGGACCAAGAGTCGGCTAGTACTCCGCAGGCCTTTTTCCGTTACCAACGAAATGCCCCCTCTGGCTGAGTCGAAATTAATAACCTGAGAAATTTTCATACGGTTCATATTGCGAATAATGGATGCACAGCTCAAGTTATAAACACAAATTACAGTTAATAATAGGAAAAGTATTAGACAAATTATTATTTTCGCCGTACGTTCAGAATCTTGACGGATTTTGGAAAAAAATACCCTCCCAATAGATCTTACCACTGTAGAATTAAAAATGGAATCGGAAATTGAATTCGGGAAATAATTAACGCTTCGGTACCTAGGTTTCATATTTTTATTACAATTTACATCACCCAACGAAAAAAATCGACAGTCTTTTCCACACATTGTTTCTAACTAATTTACAGTTTTATTAAATACTTTAATATTTTACATTATTGCGTTATCCGGCAACAGCAACACACTTGATACTTTAAGTAAAAGTTATATGCTAGCAGCGGAATTTTTTTATAATGTAGCCAAATACGTGAATCTTCTGGCAAAGCCACTTCAACGTTTAGTCAATAGTATCGGGATATGGTCCCGTTTGCCGGTGTTGAATAAATGTTTTCATGTTCTGATACACGACCGTTTTGATTTTTAACTACTTTTTGATATTAACGAACAAAGCCCACAAAGGGTGCGCAATTATTTTAACTCAGATGTTACTAATTAGATGAGTCCGTGGCACAGTTGCCAAGGTATTGGCTTCGGCGTCGGGGGTCGTGAGTTCGATTCCCACACGGGACAACTATTTGTGTGACCCACAGGTAGTTGTTTCGCATCTGGGTGTTTGTCCGTGTGAAATTTATGTTTGTAAAGCGTCCCTTCAACACAGTATAATATTATCCTAAAGTAAGGGCAATGTATTTTCTATAAAAAAAAAAAAAAAAAAAAAACAAATCACCAAACGAAACGCAGAAGTGTAATGTTTCTACTTCACGCCGGTCTTCTGTGAGGTAGTATTTACCCGGACGGACCTGCCCATTCGTGCTATAGTGTAGCCCGTTGGGTGGTCCTACAACAGTTGTACAGTTAATAATCATATTTACCTGCTCCCCGTGAGTCCAGGTAATAGACGAAGGAGGTTCTGGCGTATGTTTAACTATACAAGTCAAGTTAATTGTCGATCCGGCTTGGATGAAAAGTTCCGGTCCACTGGATATGGTCGTCTCCGGTTCTAAGTGAGTTAAAGACTTGTTAGTAATTGTTAAATCAAGAGCTGGGTACAGATCATGTCAAAAATAAATTTAAAAAAAAACATTTGCATTGAGTTATAATAGTTTAAAAAGCTTCTATTTTCAACCGACTTCAAAAATAGAGGGGATTCTAAATTCGGTTGTTTTTTTTTTTCTTATATTTGTTACCGTCATTTATATCAGTGCATATAATATTTTTGCATTCGATTCGGTTTAGCTCCCAAGTGATTTCAATATTGATTTCATTATAATTTGACCTTGGATAGCTCATTGACATATCATTATAGACAGATCATTCACACACACATATGCGCTCGCTTTTAATTCCCTATACTCGAGCAACCTGAGCCCGATCCTCGGTGCAGGCGTCACTGAAATTGTTATTTTTTAGTTCTTAATTATCACGTGCTCAACGGTAAATGAAAAAAATCGAACCTGCTAATTTTCGAAATAATAACAAAAAATATTTCAAAGACATGTGAAGTCCGCCAATCCGCAGTGGGCTGGCGTGGTGGACTATGTCCTAATACCATCTGCACAGAGGAGGCCTTTGCCCAGCAGTGGGTCATTTATAGGCTCTTACATTACTTTTGACCTTGGACTAGGTGATAAATAATTAATATAAATAATATACATAAATAATATAATATAATATATTTATTATTATATAGTAGATATAAATATTAAGGCAAAGTTTAAAAGTTTTTATATTATGTAAGTATTTGCATTTTTGATTTTATTATTTATGATCTTTTTTAGCTTATTGCACCTACCACGATTTCTCTCCACGCCCTGGGTAGACTGGGAGAGAATGCCCAAATGGCATTAAGTCCGCCCTTTGTAATCCTTTTTTTAAGGTTTTGCAATAAAGAATAAATAAATAAATAAAAATAAATAAACTACTCAAAATCAAATACCCATAATGTATAATGAGTGAGATATTTAAAGTCGGTTCCGTTTTTTGGTAAATAAAAATTTGACGTCCATGCGTTTGATTCATACCGACGATATTGAGGAAAACAGCATGCCCGATGGGTGGCGTCGTTGATATCTGACATTCGTATTGGCCCGAGTCCCGCCTCTGCGGGCTTCGGATACGCAAAGCCCACTCCTCAGATCGCGGCTTGTGTTGCGCCTCGAACCTTTGATCGGACGTGTAAGTGTAACGGCCTACTGTCAGCAAGTGTATATCGCGATGGCGAACCCAAGATACCTGATGAAGAAAAAGTTCATAATTATAACAAAGTTGCTTACAGTTCATAAAAAATTTCAATTTTTTTTTTATGTGAAAAAGTGGCACACGAGCTAACAGTTCATCTGATGTTAAGTGATAAACTCTGCCCATTCTCATTTGCAACACCTGCAGGGTTGCAAATGTTGCACGTTGCCACCTTTTAATAAAGTAGGCCCCGGCTTGTACCAGATAATTTAGAACTGAAGTTAAAACAGACAGAAAGAACAGAATGGAAGCAGAAAGCATGCGAACTGATTGTACATCTATGTTTAAAGTTTAGAAATTAATAAATAACATGTCTTATACACATGACAGATTAAGATTTCGATGTAGATTTAACAATTAAAATAGAAGATTAATATAACTCCACCGTTCATAATCTAAGTGTGCTCGATAAGCGGATTAAAAGTTAATTTTCAAATGAATATTTCATTAACTTTTTTACTCTTCACCATTTTAAAAGTTCTGAAATGATTTTAATATAATCTATCTACAATAATCATATTATTTTAACACTATTTGTGTTAACGATATTAAAAGTTTATGGAGTACTGCGGCTTCTTTCATTTTGTTTTTTTTTTAAAGGTGATTGTTTTCGGCGGCTTATATTTGCCCGTATTGATGAAAAACAGTCAAACAAAAACACTAAAGTTTTTATTAAAAATTTGTTAATAACTTTTAAAGGGCATCTTTCGTCAATTTGTTTAAGTTAAATATTGCTAAGTCGAATTCAATTTACCGTTATTCTTTAAAATTAGATAGCTTTCATGGATAACTACTTTTTTACACATTATTAAATCACCTATTTGCCAACCATCACATAAAAAAAAAACATAATTTTGCCTTTGCTGGTCTAAAGAAAAAAGATTAATAAAGAGATTACATATATTATAAGTTCTATTGTACAGTTACTTATTCCATTTTTAGACAGCACATGGAGTACGTTTAAACTGAACAATAAATTTCAAAATGTAGTCTCGTGCAAATGTCTAGTCAAAAATGAAATAAAATCTTTACTTTGTTTGTATACCGTAAGTAAAAAAGGAACCTTAGTCTTGATATATTTTCATTATACTTCTTCCTCGTAATGTGTCAAAAATAAAATGGGTCATTTATCTGCTTAAGTGCGAACGAAAGTACAGGGACAAGTTCATCGCTCAGGAAAAACAAAATTAAGAGACACAATATTGCCCAGCCCGCTTTGCTCAAGTGTAATTGCTGTCTGGAACCAAGGAGCACTTAACTAACGAACTGGACCATTTAGCAGCTCTAAAGACGCTTTAATTTCAATGGTCTGTGAAATACTGCTTAGCGAAATGAATTCTCGCAGGATTCAATATAAATGGGCGACGACAAAGTCCAGCTGAAGAAAAGTAAATTTCCATTATAATTATTTTTGAATTGAAAATAATACCGATCTACCGAGTATCGGAAGTGACCGTATAAGATCTTCATTTTCTTATAATAAAGTACCTATCCGATAAGACGGAGGTCTTCCTTTATGAAGTACCTATGTTAGCGCATGTTTAAATTTTGGTAAGGGCCACGAATCAGCTTTTGCTGCTGCAAGAATGGGTCGTCCCTAAGGCCTCACTTCCCATGAGGCCGTACTTCCCTGCAGTACGGCCTCATGGTACATTTATTTGAAGAAGACTGACATTAAGTGAAAGCATTACACTTTAGTCTCGTGCGTAAGAATCCGTGGTCCTTGATGTCCAATGTTGACAACACATCCGAAAATCATTTGATATTGTGGATGTCCATATGTAACAGTAATCACTTACCATCAGGTGACCCGCCCACTTGCCAACTTTTCACATTTAAGCAAAGGCAAGAGCCTCTGAAAGGTTTCCCCAAGAGAAAAAAATACGTATCCCACTTAAAGTCACTCACAGTCCTGTTTCGTAGGTTCTTAACCCTGCACAAAAGGCGCACAGGATGGCCGACCAGTCCTGTTATGTTGCGAGGCGTGCTTGGGTCGAAGTATGGCGAATCAGCCGCTTCATGCCACTCTTGGAGGAACTCTGCCCGGAAACGACGCGACGAAATGTCTATTGTTGTCCTGTCCGACGGTGATTCGGTGCCTGAGTCCGCTGTTAAACCATAAAAATTAGAACGTGTACTTAGTTTTCATTTTTTAGTTTTCTTTTCTGGAAAATAATACAATAATATATTTGAAACTGTATTCTCTAATTGCTTATTAACACGGCTTTAAAACTGTATTTTATTAAAGCCTTCTGTACAGTTAAGTAAAAGGTTGTCATACGTCCAAACTACGTGTACATTCAAATGAAGGTACAGCATAAACATCTCATAGTGAAATACCTATAAAATGTACCTAAACTGCATCGTCACAATTTAAAATAAATATTTGTAATTTACTTCTATTTTAATTTAACAAAGTACCTACCAACGAGAAACATGAAGCCATGCAAAAGAGAAAGCCACAGTGTGGTTTTCACTCCGCTCACTGCTTGTCCCATTATTAAACTTTCTGAATTATCTGCGCTGAAACAAAACACGTTTTTTCCTTTGTTAATTTTTAATACGCTGACTCCAAACCGGCTATTATGTCAGCGTGCTGTTAGGTTAAAAATAAAAAAAAACGTTGTGAAAAAACTCTTAATGGTCTGCCTCACGTAACATACTCGCTCCCATTTTTAATTATTTCTCATTATAGAAATAAGAAATCTTACGAGTATTAACTAAGCAATGGACAATGTCACACAGGAATTAGTTTAAGGAAAAATTTTGTGGCATGCGATCTGCTACTTTTTATATCTGTATCGCAGGTCGTAAACCCGTAACGGGCTATAACTTAATATACTTCTTGATTAAGTTATAGAACTTTTATTTTAAGTTATTACAATATTATGTATTCGTTGACTTATTTATGAATGAATGTATATACTTTATTGCAATCCAAATATATAATATTGCGCTTAATATTTTGCGACATTGTATTCTTGTACCTAAATTTACGTACCTCCTTCGCCCGAGTCCAGTTTGGAAATGCGGTGACTTTTTGAATGAAATTGATTTCCATCTTAAATCAGCTCTAGAAAAAAATTTAAATTTATTTCTTAATGAATCAAGCTGGACTCAAGTTACGCTGCCAATTCGTTTTAGTGGTATCGGTGTAAGGAAAATTTCTAGTGTCGCTCTACCTGCCTTCCTTGCTTCTGTGCATAGCGTAAATAATTTATGTAATAACATCCTTAATCACGATTCAGAACTTTCCTATGCAGAGGAAGCAAGAATGTCTTAGCTGTCTATCTGCCCCAACGAAAATATCCCACTGGAAGTAAACCTACAAAAACAGTGGGATGTTCCTTTGGTGCGGAGAGTACAGAGAGATACGTTTCAATCTTTAGAAAGTAATTTAGAGCGTGCCCGTTTCCTAGGCGTTTCATCTAAAGGATCGAGTTATTGGCTTCACGCTTTACCATCAAGTAACTTGGGCACATTACTTGACGATGAAAGCTTACGCATTGCTGTAGGAATCCGTCTGGGGGCACCGATTTGTCAACCACACCAATGCCCTTGTGGTGTCAGTGTAGACAAATTTGGTCTCCACGGGCTTTCTTGTCAAAAAAGTGCTGGCCGTTTTTCCTGCCACGGTTCCCTGAACGACATCATCCGTAGGGCTCTTGTTTCCGTCAATGTTCCGTCTATATTAGAGCCCTGTGGCATTTTTCGCGACGATGGTAAGAGACCCGACGGTTTAATATTGATCCCTTGGGAGAGAGGCAAAGCCCTTGTTTGGGACGCCACTTGTGTAGACACTTTGGCTGCCTCTCATCTAAGGGGTACTTCGGTCAGGGCCTGGGCGATTTTATTATTATTATGTAGGGATATTTATTTGTTTTCTCCTCTGGTTGGGTTTATAAATAGAAATAAACATATAGATATAAATATTGTATATGTATAATGCATAAATAAATACCGACCCAACCCAACAATATACGGAAGTTCGGTCGACACACCGTTTCAGCTTTCACGAGGTTCTCGTAATATGGAATGGTAATGTCAACCAAAAATATCCGCGACTGTGACCGGTCCATCAACATCATATCTGGTTTTTCGCGAGAATCGTTCTGTTCGTGATGATGGGCCGGTTCCCTGGCGCGGTCATTTTCGAGCACGGCCTCCAGATAATACTTATAGTACGGCAATTTGCGATCCACGAGACCGTACTTCAGAGCGAGCTCTGGCTACACCAAGCTGCATAGGCACAGCTAGACTGTGCCTATGATTCATATTTATGCAAGCCAAATATGAATCTTATGCAGAAACTTTAAATATGCTCTCGCTTATCAAGCAGCTCCTCAGTGAGATCTAGATAGCTGATATCCGCATAGTCGAGTATCGGAAGAAGTAGATTTTTTGCAAGGGCCATTTTAGTGGCAGTGTACAGGAAGTGGCGTAATCTTCTCAAGGATGCTGCTGAAGCGAATATTTTGCGAATTATTTCGTGAAGGTGAGGGCTCCAAGAAAGATTTTTATCTAAATAAAATCCTAATATTTTACTCATGAGCTTAAGACTTATATTTATTGAAATAATGATTTATCCGCGTACCCATAACTTTGCGAATATGTTCATATCACCATTCTCATATTTCTACCTTACCTAAAGTAATGTATAACATTTATTCATAACCAGCGACCTGCCCCGGCTTCGCACGGGTGCAATGTACTGTACATAAACCTTCCTCTTAAATCACTCTATTTAGTAAAACAACCCGCATCAAGATCCGTTGCGTAGTTTTAAAGATCTAAGCGTACATGGGGACAGACAGACAGCGGGACGACTTTGTTTTATACTATGTAGTGAAGCACAGCAAAGAGACGTTTACATTTCAAGTGACATTTTACCACAGTCACTCACTTGTTTTGCCTTCCCGGAACCCCTCCACTAACACTTAAACTTTATGGTATGGTATTAAAGTTCAAATTGAGTTTTAAGTATTATTACGAATCTTTCGTACGGGAATATAGAGAAGTGCTGTTTTTAGACTTTTCCAGGCAATTTTTTAAAATTTTCTCTCCGTAAGAACTATCTTCCTACTTCAAGGAATATTATAAAAAAAGAATTAGCGAAATCGGTCCAGCCGTTCACGTGTGATGGCGTGACCGAGGTAAATAGGGATTCATTGTTATATAGTAGATTATGTAGGGGTAACGGTGTTAGACACTATTTTAATGTTCGTAATCAATAACATTAGCACACGATTGTAAATAAATCACTCTATCATTTGAATTCAATTCATTAGTGAAACAAAGAATAAAACAGAACTTTATCCAGTGAAACGGGCAACCGTTCTTAAGCCTGAATGTATGATGACTAGCTGGATGGAAGGGAGTTAGAGACGCTTTCGGTGGCGTCATAGCTGAACGTGCTGTTTACAAATTTCTTTCTGTGCCTAGCAATTTGCACCTACACCGTGCACCGCACGTCATTGTTGTTGTTTACCTAACATATACCCAACACACGATACACTCAAATATATACCCAACTGTTGAGAAAAAGCTTCCTCTGTACATGTCTGTATAATCCACCCCGCAACCTCATCGGGGATTGACAGGTTTCACATCTCCCCGAAATACTTTTCGAAAATGTATCATTACAATGTTTTCCTTTACTGTCGATCACGATTTAAGTCAACGTTTCTATTAACAATTTCATGTCTTTCTCTCAGGTTTTTTGTTTGAAAAATTGTCAAACGAGCAGGCAGGACACCTGATGTTAAGTGAAGACCGCCACCCACGGATATCTACAACTTTTTAAAAAATTGGGTCTCTTGAGTATAATTAATTGAAAGAAAACACCCCGGATATAGATCTCACAGGCGGCATCATATGATGTTAAGTAAACAAATAAAAGGGATTTTTTTTACTTAATTTTGTTCAAGTCGTACACTTCGACATTCGATTTGGTTTAGTGACTTATAATTTTTGAAGCTATACTTCTTTTGATACTTTGTGAAAGAAGATGTGAAAACCGCGAGCAGGCGGTTCATCTGATGATAAGTGCATACCGCCGCCCATGGACATCTGCTACACCCGCGGGTTGCAGATACGTTGACAATCTTTTGAAAATTGGGCTCCGGCTACCTCACTCGCCAGACAAAACGCGAAAGTACTTATTGTACTTCCATTTTACACCGGTCTTCTGCGAGGTCGTGGTCCTTACCCGGACGAGCCTGCCCATTCGTGCAACAGCCGAGGCTGCTACGTGGCCCTACCACCGTCAACTTTTGACGTTTATGTTAATGTCTTTTCCACAAACAAAGAGTACTCGCACAGGAGATAAAACTTTTAGCTATTTTTCTATTGTTACGCTAAAGAAGCATAACTTCTTACGTGGGTACATAAATGCACACAAATGTTTATTGTTTGATTGTATTTTATTGAATGAAGGGCATATATTAAGTATTAACTTACGTATGAGCATATATTAAGTATTAACTTACGTATGAGCATATTTGATTAAATAATCGCTTGAGCGCCTTAACTTTGACGCATAATATTTAAGGGACTGCGGGAAAACTCTATTAATTAAGTTAGTTTCCGCCCTCGACGGCTTTGTAATAACAAACATGTCAATTTTTTACGAACTTGCCGGACCGTTATTAATTTTCAAGGCTCTATGATTGTAAACATAAAGCGTATAGAAGTAGACTATACTTTGTATAAACCTATAAACAATAGACCTGCAAAATCAGCGTTAAGTGTTTAAAAGGAACTTTCAACTAGTAGGAAGAGTAGAAGGAACTTGAGCAGGAGATTATCAAAGTATCGTGATTTGTAAGCTCCTCTTTTAACTTAAATATCCAAACCTGTGTGACAGAATATCGCGTGATAATCCATCACTGTATGCATACAGTATGCATACTAGCCTATCAGTGTTTGTGGAGTTGAACTCTCATGCTATTGAGTAGGTTTGTTAATTATTTTTAATTAGTTTTTTTGGTAGTTTCACTTAAAAAAGTGCGCACCGAGCTAAGTATTAAAATATTACTCATATTACCGATATGAACTTACACGATATATGTTTACGATTTTGTAATCAATACAAGATGCAAGTGGAGTTAAAAGAAGTTATTTAAAAATTCAAAACCTCTTATGTTCTTAAAGTGTGCTCTTAGCGCTTAAAAATCTTGTATTTTAATTTGTTTTTAACAAGAACTAAGCAATTCCTTGCTTTGTCCAGTGTTTTCACCAGTGGAGAAAGGACTTCGCTTTGGTGAGAAATTATTTCTTAAGTCCCGTTGTCCCATTCATCATTCTGCAAGCTGAAGCTTTAAGTAGTTGAAATGGTTCTTTCTTAAGAAGTAGTGCTTAATATTTTCCACGCGATGAATTAAACTGCGGAATATTCAATTATCCGGTTTACCCCCGTTTAATTCATTAAGACATTGCGCATAGCAACATTTTTTTGTCGTGTAACGCAAAGATCCAGCCTTGTGTTAAGATATTTTTA